GGTAGCTAGTCCCAGTTCCATCTCTGCTTTGGCTTTCCTGACTGCCCCCCTGCAGCTCCGAACAACTGCAGTATAGTCCTCCCTGGTGATGGCCCCTCCCTTCCATTGGGTGCGCCCCTCCCTTTTAGCTAGGAGACATTCTCGGATGCTTTTGGTGAGCCATGGGGGCTTTTGTGCCCTCCTGGTCCCTTTGATCCATGTTGGGAATACCTCTCTTTGGGCTTGGAGGATCGTCTCCCTAAGAAGCGACCACTCTTCTTGGACACCTGACTCCCCTCCCCTCCAGGACCTCAGTGCCTCCCTGACTATTCTCCTTAGCTCAGTTTAATTTCAGGGAGGATCATCCTAGAATTGAGTAAATATTCAGGGAGGATCACGCATATGAGGATCACGCATACGAGGGCGGTAGGGGGTTAGGTGGCTTTTGTGACCTGGGTTTGCCTCTCCATTGCCTGCCCCCCACCCTCCTGCAGTGGTGGGAGTGGTGAATTAAAGATGACCCTACAGTAATAAGATTATCTACATGGAAAATTAGAACAGATTTATAAATCTTCAAGTAGATAATCTAATTATTGATTATTGTCTTGAATTCGGGGTCATCTTAGATTCGAGTCAATACAGTGTTTTGACATAACCATTATTTTCTGAAGTAACCTCATATTTTTACTGTGAGGTGATGACTCTGACTAGAGCCTTTTTGTGCTATTATTATGAGTAACTAAAGGTTTTATTTTAAGTATGTCTTCCCTTTAATTTTTAAACATCCATTTAGACCCTGGAAATATTATAGTATTAAGTACTAAACATTCACCTGAATGGAAAGCTAAGAATTCATGTTAGCAGTATCCTGACCCTGTTTTTAAAAAAATCCCTTAAAATTGTATGTTCTCTGTGTTTCTTTTGTCTTTTTTTAATGTTCTATGGGAAGCAAAAGTTTAATACTTGGGTAAGTGTTCATATAAAGGACTGTTGGTTATAGGCATGTTGGTCTAAGGACATAGGCAGACAAGCTTCTTTGGGTAAATGTGAGATCTTTTATAGACCAACTAAATAGTTGGAAATTATTTAGTCAGTCTAATAAATGATGTCACATTTACCCAGAGATCCTTGTCTGCATATAAAGGGCTGGCAATGGAAAGCATCTTTCCTTTTCCTTTCTGTTGCTGCACGTTGTCTTCTATGCACAAGGGGGAAACTGCATCATGTGTCCTATATGCCAGTAACGTACCATGAATAGTCAAACCAAATAGGTCAAAAAAGCCTCTGGCTGAAATTACATTTCTCTAAAACTATTAGGTGATGAACTCTGAGTAACAAACTTGTTTGAAAAATTCAGTTTCTCTCTAGTTGTAAATAGGAAAGAGGCTAAATATGAAAGGTTATTTGCTGACAATAGCTCACCAACCCTAGCTTCCTTATTTTTAAAAAAATAGCCCTCAAATCTGCCATTTTCTTTCAATATGACTGAATCATCCATTTTCCACAAAAGCTGACACTGCTGCATTTTAATAACTACTTAACAAAAGCTATATGAATGCACCTGACATCTATAAATTAATCCTATTTTTCAATGACAATAATTTCCTCTCTGAATTAATATTTGCAAGTAAGTGTTTTTTTTTTTATTGTATCACTTCTTTGAATACAGGTCAGTATAATTTCCTGTGTTATCTTAGTTCTGTGTTTAAAATTTTTGCTTCCTCTGGGATGACAGAATGATAGTTATGTTTTAAATTGTTATTTACAGTAATGCTCTACCTTCTCTTTTTTTATCTTCATACAGAGGATTACTGTTACAGGAAAACAGCAGGTTTTCAGAAGCACTACATTACTATAAACTGGCAATTGGTAGCAGACCCACGTTAGCTTGTAAGTAATTCAGTAGTTTCCCCCTCCCCCCACCCTACATATTCCAATCTTATAATCACTTAAGGAATGAAGGAGGGATACTTATGCAGTAGCATACCAAGTAAACTTTAGTACTTTTAGGTTAGAAGCAGATGTTCAAAAAGCCAGAGCCTGAATTGATTCAACCTTTGCAGGTTAGTCTAACTTGCCTAGGTTGAACTGGTTTGTAACAGCACAGACATACGCTTTGGACAGAGAAAATGCAGGCATATGCTTGTACAGGTAGTCCTCAGACTTACGACAATTGATCCCTGAAAACTACGTCTTAAGTCGAAATATAACTTGGAACTGATTTTCCCATAGGAAACAGTATTATAAATGGGGGATTGGTTCCTGAACCAAGGCCCGATTCCCTATTTTCACCAAAAATAACCCATAATTTTGTACTCAGTCAATTATATATGAGTAATATAGCTACATTAATGTATTTATATTGTAATTAGCAATCACATTGATTTGGAAGGACTTCTTTGAGGTGACTTTGCTGGACTTTTTGAAGGGCTCTTGGTTGGACTTTTTGAAGGGCTCTTGGCTGGAGTCTTCTCAGGAGTCTTGGCTACAGGTTTTTCTGGAGTCTTGGTTTCTTAAAGAAAGCTTCCAAGGAAGCTTGGACAGATGTTTTCCAGGAAGATAGGCAATGCAGTGAACGTGTTCACTGGCATGGAATTGAATTGGCTCAAGCATTGTAAAATCAAAACCGATGTCAGAAAGTTGAAACAGGGTCATTTATAAATGTAAGTGAGAAACATTGTAACTTGAAAAGTTGTAAGTCAAGGACTGCCTGTAGTTACTTAGGCTAGGTGCTTTGGGGGGCACTAGAGCACGCCCTCGGCTGCAGGGAAGCTGTGCTGGGGGGGGGCCTGGCTAGCCTGGGTTGAACTGACCAGAGAGAGGTTTTAATTCCCCCTCCCTGTCCCACCGGCAGGGATTCGAGCCAGGTCTGCCAGGCACTCCCCTCTCGCTGCTGCAGCAGCAGGCCAATGTGCTCCTGAAGCAGAGAGGGCAGGGAGGGGGGTTATTCTCCCCTCTACCCCTACTGCCCCCTGGGCACTGCAGTGGGGTCTGCCTGCCCTGACCACCCCTGCTGCTGTTTGCTGTGTGCCTGGGGCAAGCAACGGAATAAGCTCCCTCCTGTCCCCCTCCTTCTGGTGTCTGGCACAAGGGGCTTACCCTGCTGCTTGCCCAGGGAACACAGTGAACAGTGGCAGCAGCAATCTGAGCAGGCAAACCCCACTGCGGTGCTCCGAGGGCAGAGTGGGGAATTACCCTGCTCCCTTCCCCGCCCCAAGGGGCCCTGCCCACTGACATCTAGCCCCACCAGGTGTGGGCTGGCCAGGGAGCAGCCTTCCTGGGCCAACTCAGGGTTGCTGGGGGACCCCAAGCCCAGCAGCGACCACTGCCATGTCTCTTGCCCTGTGCAGCACCCAAGGTTGCATGTACACAAGCAGATGTGGGCTGGCCAGGACCAGGGGCTGTTCTTCCCTCTTCACCTCCAGCTGCCTCTACCACGACCATGCTGCGCCGCTCTGGGTGGTGGGGCAGAAATCTTCTGCCCTGCATGTGGAGCTCTGGCTCCAGCTCCCAGACACCTTGGAAGGCTTAAGGCACCCAGGTGGAAGGTGTCCAGGGGCTGCAGCCAGAGCTCCACATGCAGGTTGGAAGCTGCTAGGCTGAAGCTACCCCCTGTCCCCCACTACCTCCCACAGCAGCTCTGGAGTAGCAGGACTGAGAGGGGGAGTAACTGCTACAGGTGAGGAAAAGCTGGCTTGGCCCTGCAAGGCTGTTTTTCTCCCCTCACCTCAAGTTGTGGCTCCTGCCACACCACGCAGTGCTGCTCAGGGCTGGGGGAGCTTCCTTCAGTCTGGCAGCTTCAGCCCAGCTCAGGTTGAAGTGGCCAGGCTGAAGGAAGATCTGCTAGCCCTGAGTGGTGTTGTGCGATGCGGCAGGAGCCACAGCTGGAGGTGAGGGGAGAAAAACATCCCTGCAGGGCAAAGCCAGCTTCCCCTTGTTTGCAGCGGTTATGTACCCTCCCATTCCTGCAGCTCTGGAGCCACTCCAGGAGGCGGTGGTTGGAGGCGGAGGCTTCAGCCCATCTGCTTCTGCCCCATGCATGGAACTCCAGCTGCAATCCCTGGGCACATTCTGCCTTCCGAGGCACTTGGCAGCTGGAACCAGAGCTCGTTGTGCAGGGCAGAACTCATTGGGCTGAAGCATCCTGCCCCCTGCACCCAGAGCTATGTGTGCCAAAACCCCTGTCATGGTTTCCTGGAGTGTGAGCCCCTTCCTGGCTAGGGGGTGCTATGATGCATAATGGGGAAAGGTGCTACACGCCACAGCACTGGGCAGGGGGGTGGAGGCTTGGAGGGCTCTGGTCCCCTCTGGGCCCCAGTGCTGCTGTGTGCAGTCTGCCACAGCTCTGCCTGCCCGCAGCAGGGCTGCCCGCTGGGAAGGGGCTTGCGCTCCCAGACACTATGATAGGCTGCTGCCCCCATCAAAGGCCCTGCCACCTCCCACTACAGCAGCTGGGCGAGGCCATGGTTAGACACTGGCCAATATGTCCACTTGGGACATGTGAGAGGCAAGTCTGCAGCTCATTCCTCCTCCCTCCACTAGACACCGGTGGGGACAAGAGCGGGCTTAATCCACTGCTCGGCAGTGGTCGGGGCAGGAAGACCCAGCTGCATTCCCCATGGGACAGTAGTAATAGAAGGTAGAATAACCCCCACTCCCTGCCCCTTCTGCCTCAGGGTCCACGTTAGCCTGCCGCTGCAGCAGCAGGAGGGGTGGGGGTGTGGAGAAGTGCTCATCAGACCTGGCTCGGGTCCCTGCCTTTGGAACAGGGAGGGGGGAATTAAACCCCCTCTTTGGGCAGACCCCTGCCCCTGCCTGTCCATGCTCTGCCTGGGGAGCAGAGGGGCAGGGCCAGCTCTGCTGGGCTGGAGCAGAGAGCCCAGCCCAGAGAGCATGCTGGGATGCTGGGGGACTCTGGATTAAGTTAAACCAGAAAGGGAAAGACATTGCTTAAACAGGTTTGAGCCAAATCAGTTAAGTCTGTTACTACATTCAACCAGGTTTATCTCCTGCTGGTTTTGGCCATTTTGAGACTGGTTTATGTGCCCTGAGCTTCTGTTCTGTTACAGGTTTAAACCAGTTTCTGATCGCTTAAACTGGTTTGTGTAATGTCTGTCCCTAGTCCTAGACTGTGGAGATGTGCATATCTAGACATTCTTATTTCAGAAAATTTGCTTTCAGTGTTAAAATGAGAAGCAGAAATGATTTTACTGTGCAATGGCTAATAGAACCATTGCTTCATTATTCAGTAGCTGTATTAACATTTTTCACCGTAAACAATGAGCTATAGAACAACTGAAAGCAGTGGCACATCCTAGTACTATACTCAAGAGTCTGCCTCAAATACGTATGACATAAGTACTTTATGTTTTCTGGCTTTTTATGGAATGTAGTTAATCCAAAATGCAAGGATTCAGGTGTTTGTCTTTTATTGTTATTTTCTTATCTGGGACAGAGATTCCACAAATAAGATCCAGGAATGTTTCCAATTATATTTTCCAGTTTCAGTTTCCAAATTGCAGCTTTTAAGTCACTTTGGTATCTGTGTGTGTAAGCATATGCTTGCTTTAATGGAAGCATTTTCCTTCTACTTAAACAAAACAAATAATTATATGCAATCGTGTTCTCCTAAGTAGGCATCAGCCATCATCTATGGAAGTCTTATGCCGTGTGTTAGATAGGAGGCCAGATTGAATTATCACAATGGTTGCTTGTCATTATGAATATCTTAGGTTTGTGGATATAAAATGGAGAACAAGTATAATGATATTATAGAGCTTCAGTAAAACATATAACAACCTTTTTTCCCCTCCTTCACAGCTGCCTATTTAAATACTGGTATTATTCTAATGAATCAAGGAAAGACTGAGGAAGCAAGGAGGACATTTTTGAAGTGTTCAGAGATTCCGGATGAAAATTTGAAGGATCCTCATGCTCATAAGAGCTCAGTTACCAGCTGCCTGTACAATTTAGGAAAACTTTTTCATGAACAAGGACATTATGAGGTGAGACTGCAAATTTCCCTACAAAAAAGAAGGGAAAATGCCACCTATTATTTATATATAACATATAATCAAGAATCTCAAAATACTTCACAAACATTAGCTAAGGCTCACGAAGCTCAGTAAGGTAGATGGATATTCACAATTTGGAGAGAGACAGCCTCTGACATACAGAAGCACTCACAGAGTCATTCTGAAATCCAGGATTATAATCAAACTCTTAGACTTGTCACTTTCTGCTGTTTGCCTTTTTCCATAAGGATATGTCATAGCAGGTAAAATATACATAACTAACTAGTTTAGTATAGGTTTTTAGGTTTCCCTCTGCCTAGTCTGCGGAGTTTATAGTATTTAACACCTCAAGCCAGGGATTATCAGTTTACAGCCCATAGGCCACATCTGGCCCACAGACATGGACCTTCCATGGCATTCAGCAGTGGGGGCTTTGGCTGAGTGCTTTCCCCATGCCACTGTGGGGATCAACACGTGTCTGCCCATCTGCTTCTGATGCAGAGTGGGTCATTGCGGCCTGCCACCCAGAAAAGTTGCCTACCCTTTCCCCAAACTAAACAACCTTGTGTCCCATTTGAGTCAAGTAAGGCAGTGGCTGACATCTTTGCAGAAGAGATGTTAAATCTTTTTGTCAGTTGTATGCATAGTAAGGGCCTGCTGTTTTTATAAAAACAAGCCTTACTTTTCTTTTTAATTGCCCCTACAATATTTCATGCCTACATTTTTGCACCTACATTAATTCATGTTTCTCCCTAGGAAGTTATTGCTTATACATAATTACTAACTTAATTCCACATACAGTGTTATAATTAAAAAAGAACTGAAGCCAAGTTGGGAAAATCAAATACTTTTCTACTCAAAAAAACTTCGTAGATCTTAACTATAGACAGAGATATTTTGTATCCTTTAGTTGGGCCTCTCTGCAGACACAAGTCTGCATTTTACTGTTGGTTAAAATACATCTGTTTGCATAATCTTATTCTGTATCCAGGCTGTCTAATTTACCTGCATGACGAGGAAATTGTAACAGTCATTTTTCTCCCTTCAGGAAGTAGTAAGCAATAGGTCCTCGCTTGTGATTAAGATGCATTTCTGTGTTCCAGAAAGAAAGTATTTTTGTTTTGTTCGGTGAGGCAATTCAAAACCGGAGTTACTCATGGTTTCGATGCACGTAACTCTTCAGACTCCAACACTCAAACTTGGCTGTTCAAGATTAAACTTGCATAGGTCATTTCAAGCTCCCTACATTCAACTTCCTTCTTCAGCTTGGGGAGTTATTCATTATTTAAAATGCAGTCACAAAAAACTAATACCTTTGTAAAGATGAAGTAGCATATTGTATAATTCTGCTGTGGCTGTGCATGGTTTATTCTGTTTAGTTATTATTTATATAATGGCATAGATATGCCTGACATACCAGAAATAAATAAAACAACTGCTCACTGCGTAGGCTAGTTGCAGTCTAAATTGGACTTAAATGATCATTCAGTTATGTCTTGCAAATGAGTCTGACCCATTGCACAGTGCAAAAGTTTGCTGTCATGCTGTGTAGTGCTGTGTAGTTCACTGCTCCGGAACACTACACAGTGGTCACATCTACACAAGACACTAATTGTGCAGTAGCCTAATAATACTACCCAGTAGCACATCACAGCACAAACTGTGCTAATAAGCTACTGTGCATAATTATTAGGCTACTGCGTAGAAGCATCACTAAAAAGGTGTTTGGCTGCACTACTGCACAGTAATTCTGGTTACTGTGCATTTATTTAGTACTTGGTTAAATAAGTACTAAAGTAAATGCACAGTATCCACTGTACATTAATGAATGAAAATATTCCCTGTACGGCTGTCTCATTCACAATGTACCTCCTACCCATTTAATGAATGAAACATTAAAATATGTTCATGTTAGGGGTGCACTGATAGAGATTTTGGGGGCCAATACCAGTAGCCAATATTTAAGGGGGCATATTGGCTGATACTGATTTCCTATACAGCTGCATGCAGCTGCATGAAGCCTGTTGTGGTGGAAGGGGAGCAGGGAGAGAAGGGGCTTG